AGTAAAATTAGTCATAAAAATTAAATTTTTTGGTCGCAAATTATATTTGTATCTAAAATTTGGTTGGCCACTGCCATTACAAATATTGAGTCACTAAAATTAATAGTAACTAATTTTGGAATTGTGACAACAAATCACGATTTTAGTTATGGTAAGGATAGACACAATTACTATTGTATTTGTAATGAATTTTTGCGTCACAATGATGATTATTTGTGACAAAATAATTAGACACAAAAAAGAACCTCATTTGTAACCTGTGTAACTTGTCACAAAAGAAATTGTTTGTGACATAAAATTTGGTTACTAATACTAAATTATTTGTAACATTTCCTTTTAATCACAACTAAAATCATCCATGACTGAAAAAAATGAAACAAATACTACCATGTTAGTCACAATTAGGATTATTTGTGGCAAAAAAACTTGTTACAACTATTATTATCAATGATGAAACAAAAAGGTCACAAATTGAATGTGTGACAGAGTTTTTAGTTTTAAAAAAACATATCCCAAAAAATAAAAAAGGGCATTTTTGAAAATTCAATAAACATTAGTATTCAATGATTTCGTTACTAAAATAACAACTGTAAAATAGTCTCTTACAAAATTAGTCACTAAGAATTAAGTATAATCCAAAATCACAGAATATGAATCTGAATATAAAATCACATAATATGAATCTGAATATGGATGAAAGTTGGATAAAATCACAGAATATATTTTACCTGCATTTCTTTTCATTATAGAGTTAGGATAAAATCGCAGAATAAATTTTGCTCTTTCGTGATACTATTAATTTTTCTTTTGCTTATCTTCCTGTGATGAATTTGGTAGATTTTCTCAAAGGGGGAATTTGGGCCTCTTTAAGTTATGCATATCTACCTTTTAATTTCCTATTATATATATATATATTTGTAGGATGGATAAAAGTTGGATTAATCTCCATTGAAGTAATCCAAAATATGAGGAGGGTGTCCGCAAGTTTCTTGACTTTGCATTTAATGGTCATGAATAAAGGAAGGCACTTCGATGTCTATGTGAAAAATGACATAATGATACATTTCCAACAAGAAAGGTTATGTATAAGTACCTGATGGCTAATCACTTTGATAAAGCATATGTGCGATGGTATCATCACGGTGAGTCATTTTACTATGAATCTAATGCACAGAGTGATTATGATAGGATTAAGAGATTGTTCATGTCACTTAAAACGGCATCAGAGATGACACAGCACGAAAAAAAGCATCATGATGATGGATTTATGAGACATCCAGCAGACTTTTTAGCTTGGAAAAGTTTTAACTCTCAACATCCTTCTTCTTCTGCAAATCCATGTAACATACGATTCAGGCTTGCTAGTGATGGTTTCAATCCTTTTGGAAATATGAGCACGTCTTACAATATATGGCCAGTGGTTTTTGTGAGTTATAACCTACCCCCTTGGATGGGTATGAAAGATTCATATCGTATGTTGTCTATGCTTATTCATGGTCTTAAAGCTCTAGGAAATGAAATTGATGTATACCTTCAACCTTTGATATATGAATTGAGGGACCTATGGGAAAATGAAGTGAAGGTGTATGATGTGGCTTCAAAATCTAACTTTAATGTGCGGGTAGCTTTGATATGGATTACTAGTGACCTTTTGGGTCTTACTGTATTATCAGGATATAGTACAAAAGGTAAATTTGGATGTCCAACTTGCAAGACTGAGACTTGTTCATTAAGGCTTCAAAATGGTCATAAAACATGTTACATGGGTCACCGTCGTTTTCTTCCACCGAACCATCCTTGGTGTGAAGATGCAAAGGCTTTTGATGGAACAACAGAACATTATCATGCACCTAAAGAGTTGACGGGAAAAGATGTGGTGGAATAATAGAAGCTCTTCAATTTGGTATGCTTTTAGATTATTCTTCTATTGTGTGTGTGTGTATATATATATTTATCAACAAAAATGATATTTTATTATGTAAAGGGTATTCTTACCGAGAAACAATCAAGATTAGATAGATTGTTTTTAGGCTCTCAACAATAAACAAACTTAAAACATTCCAATCAAACCCTTTGCTAGATAAAACACACATCTAGAAAAGAAACCATGCTTTCTCTTTCTCAATTTTCATTCAATTCCTTCCTTCCTTTTTATAGAGAAAGGCTACACAAAACAACTACCTAAAATAGTGACTAAAATGATGAAGTTTGCTGCCATTTGTAGTAGCACATGTGCAACTCCATCCTATTGTCATTTTGCTGCTATTGTGCAGTCATGTTGCAGCATCATTTCATTTCATTTTCAGCTTTCATGCCATACCTCCAACATTCTTGACTATTGTTAATCATTTAACTATTTAATTTTTATGTGTTCTTATTGTCGTTTATGAATAATTTTATTAGGTGACATTTGGCAAGACAAGGAAACAAAAAAAGGGGCAGAAAACATTACAAGGAAATTAGAGGAAAAAAAGTGTTTTTTATTTTTTTTTTGAGTTACCATATTGGGAAACCCTTATGATACAACGTAATTTAGATGTCATGCATATTGTGAGGAATGTGTTTGTTAGTTTATTTAGCATTATGATGAATGTTAAGGGGAAGACAAAGGATACAATTAATACCCATTTTGATCTAGAGCTTATGGGTATTCGTTCTGAACTTTATGTAAAGTCAGAAGGCAATAATAAGTATAGTTTTTTCTCTGCATGCTATACATTATCACCAAGTGAAAGAAAGGATTTATGTAAATTTGTACGTGCCATAAAGGCTCCAGATGGTTATTCCTCTAATATTACTCATTATGTCAATGAGAATGAATTCAATTTAGTTGGAATGAAATGTCATGATTGTCATGTTTTCTTAGAACGTCTCCTTCCATTAGCAATACATGGTGTTTTGAAAAAGGAAATGTGTGAGCGAATAATAGAGCTAAGTAGTTTTTTTAGGAAATTGTGTGATAGAAAGATATATGTAGAAGACATGGAATCACTCGAGAAGTCAATAGTTGTGACTCTTTGCAAGTTGGAGAAGGTCTTTCCCCTGTCCTTTTTCGATGTAATGATTCATTTACGTGTACATTTGCCTAGGGAAGCAAAAGTTGCAAGCCCTGTCTCATATAGGTGCATGTAACTTTTTGAAAGATTCTTACGTAGGTTGAAGTCATTTGTTAAGAATACTGCTCATGTAGAAAGATCAATTGCTGAGGCTTATATTGTTCATGAAGCTATGACATTTTGCTCATTATATATGCCTGAAGTTGAGACAAGACTAAATCGTGTTGGAAGAAATTATGAAGGGATGGATGAATCAACTACCTCCAAGTTTCAAATTTTTAAACGTATTGAGAGGCCACTAAGAGGAAACAAATATGAGTTGAGCTTCATGGAATGGGATCAAGCTCGAAGCTATATGCTTCATAATTGTGAGGATATACATGAGTTTATAAAGTAAGTTGTTAGTTTTTTATTTTTTTTATTTATTATAAATTCTGATTTTTACTTATATCTATCTTTAAATTTTAATTTTTAACCATTTTATGAAAGCTTGGACAATGAAGAATTGGAGTTGGATTATGTGGATACCATGACACCAAGGGTTGAGAAAGAATTTGATATATGGTTCAAAAATTCTATAAGCATTTTAGCTTTTAATTTATGGTAATTTTACTGTTGGTCAGGTTTCAGCTATAATTTTAATATTAACTAAATTTTAAATAGTTGCAAACATGATTCTTAGAGAAAAAACTACTTTGAGATCTCTTTTAAGAAACTTTTGAAAACTAGTTCATAATAAATAAGTCTTAAACTTCATCTATTCCCACAATTCAGAATTGTACCATTAAATTTTGTGCATGAACGTCTACACTAGAGTTTGGTGAAATAGCTGCTGGTGCAATTCCATGAATTGGGTTGTATTGATGGTTATTTTACGATATCTAGTAATATGAATTATTGGCTAGCTGCTGGTGCAATTCCATGAACTGGTATATGAATTATTGGTTATTTTTTGGAATACTCTCACAATATGTAAGTGGGAATAAGAGAAATGATATATAAAATTGTATTCTGCATATTAGAATTAAACTTTGATATTTCTAGTGATTTTAAGCACTTTTACGCCACAATTTTCAAAAGTTTTTTTGCTTTATTTGTGTGGTTTTTTTATTATTAAATTTTGTGCAATTCCATGAGATGGGTTGTATTGATGGTTAATTTTTTTGATATCTATTATATGAATTATTGGTTAGATGTTGGTGCAATTCTATGAACTAGTATATGAATTATTGGTTATGTTTTAGAATACTCATAACATGCGTGAGTGAGAATAAGAGAAATGATGTTTGAAATCGTATTTTACAGATTATAATTAGACCTTGGTATTTTTAGTGATTTTAGTTATTCATGTGCCACAATTTTTAAAAGCTTTTTGGTTTTATTTGTGTGGTTCATTTATTTTTAAATTTTGTGCATAATGTGAAATAGTTACATGAATTTGGTCTAAACTCTCTTGGTAGGTAGCATTTAGTAGAGTGATTATATGTTACTAATTTGTCAACGATACTATTTTTTTTTGGCAAAATACCCAAATCCACCCCCAAAGTATAGTGGTAGGGACGGATCTACCATCGAACAAAAAACGGAGACAAATCCACCCATAAAGTTTTCGACTTGCACAAATCACTGCAAATTTAACGTGTGACGTCATTTGACATCGGCAATTCGTTAATTCGTTAACGGATTGTTGATGTCAGATGACGTCAAATTAACAGATTGCTGATGTCAAATGATGTCACACGTTAAATTTGGGGTGATTTGTCCAAGTTGAAAACTTTGTGGGTGGATTTGTCCCCGTTTTTTGTTCAAGGGTGGATCCATCCCTGCCACTATACTTTGGGGGTTGATTTGGGTATTTTGCCTTTTTTTTTCTTAATGACTATTGGTGAGTGTTCTTTTTTGAATCTAATATGAGAAATATTGTTTATATATCTTATTTTTGTTTTCTTTTACTTTAGATTTTACATTTAAAAGATGAAGGAACTACGACATATAATGAGGAACTTAAATTCTTGGTTTGGGGACCTGACAGAAGGGTGATCCAATATATGAGTTACCTTATTACTGGTTGGAAATTTTGCACTAAAGAGCATGATATAAAGTTGAAAACACAAAATAGTGGAGTATACGTAAAAGGAGATGGAGGCATTGATTATTATGGGGTACTAAATGAAATTATTGAACTAAATTATGGAAGACATAGTGTGGCTCTTTTTAAGTGTGATTGGTGGGATGTGTTCAATACAAGAAGGAAAAAATGATGTAAAGAAGACTAATATGGGTTTACACTAGTAATATTACACATAAACTTCAAACTAATGAACCTTTTATATTGGTTAGTCAAGTTGAACAGGTGTAGTATGTGCCAAATACAAAAGATTCAAATTGGCATGTTGCGATCAAGACAAAACCTCATGATTTTTATGATTTTCCTCCTGATGAAGATGCAATTAAGTCATATCATGAAAATGAGGAGATTGGGCATATACAACAAGATGCCTTGGTGTGTGGTAATGATGTGATTTTGAATTGATTAGAAATAGAAAATGTTGACGTTGAACAAAGGCCAATAACTTCTAACCTGTTGATAGAAGATGAAGATATAGAAGATGAATCTGACTATGAGAATGATCTTATTTTCAGTGAAGAAGAAGGGGGGCCTCCACTAGAAGATACAAATGATGATGATCATTTGCTTTGATTTTTAGTTGAATGTTTTGAGACAACATTTTAGAATCTATTATTAAAGTTATGTAAAATTATTTTATTAAGATATTATCATTTAATTTAATTTAATTTTAGTAGTTTTGTTTTTTTTTTTCTTCATAACATGAAGTTCATTTATGATGTTTTGTAGCATTATTGCTAATAAAATAAAGTATATGAAATATATAATGATGACATGAATTTTTATATAATTTTGTTTAAGTTTTTATATAGTTTTCGTAATTATATGTGCATGTAATAAGATATTCTTCATTTTTCATGATCTTGTAGTCTATGCTAAAAGAAATATTTAATGAAAGAAATGAAAATTATAAGAATTCAATTGCTAAATCTAAAAAGGTTGAGAGATGAAATAGAAATTTTTAAATGTGACATTAGGGGCTTATTTGAATGAAATTAAAATTTGAGGATTAAAATGTAAAATATTATTGGGGAATAAAATTGATATTTTACAATTAAATAAATTGATCAAATTGTATTAAATCTTCTAGGAAAATAATAAATTATGTTTTTTTTTAAAGTTAATTTTATAATGCTGACTTTTATCCATAAGAAATTATGAATTTTCTCCATCTCACAACTTATGGATTATTAGTTTTTTTTTTAAAAAAAAAAAACCATTTATTTTAGTGATATTTAAGTGTTTTCATTTATTTTATTTATAAATGATGAAATTTGTTTATTTGTGGTAGATTTTTTATTAGTCACAAAAATTCACCTAATTTATAGTGACTAATATTGTTGTAACTTATTTATTTATTTTTTTAAGTTCAATTGTGGACTAATTGTGACAAAAAATTTTGTTACATCTTGTGAATTCTTTTAGTAACAAACCGTATATAGTCACAAAATATATTTGTTACAAATCATAATTTTAGTCACAAGAAAAAAATAGTGTTTGTGATAGAAATTTATCTTTTGTAACTAATATTTTTCAAGTAACTAATAGTTAATTTATTTGTGACGATTTTGACTGTCACAAATTTAAGTAGTTTATTGTGACAAATTTTTAGTGACTAAATATTATTTCTGTGTCCAAATTATATATTATAATATTAAAAATTAATATTAGTGATTATTATCTTAAATTAGTCACAAATATAAAAAATACTAGTAAATAATTGATAATCAGTCACTATTTTCAGTCACAAAAAACCCATTCTCTTGTAGTGTGAGGAGACTAGCTTGAGTTTGGAAAGAAGAGTGCCGAAGCATTCAACAAAGTGAGTTTTTGGTAATAAGATCTGTATACTGAATATGTAGATCGATACAATCAACATCGCTAGAGGAGAAGGAGGCAATATTAGATCTGGGCAATAGCAATGTTGAAAGTTCAATTGTGAGAAATCAAAAGCAAAATCAACAACAATTGGATGCGAGAAGGTTGGAGCAACACTGGTCGTGGGAGTAGACTAGCTTGAGTTTGGAAAGAAGAGTGTGGAAGCGTTTAGCAAAGTGAGTTTTTTGGTAATAAGGTTTGTACACTGAATATGTAGATCGATACAATTGACATCGTTGGAGGAGAAGGAGGCAATATTAGATCTGGGCAACAACAATGTTAAAAGTTCAATTGCGAGAAATCAAAAGCAAAATCAACAGCAATTGGATGCGAGAAGATTGGAGTAACGTTGGTCGTGGGAGTAACACATATTGTCGGCGCAATAAAGGAACATGATCAAGAAAACCCAATTGTAAATAAGTCCAAGAAAAAAGGCAAAGATGATCATGATCAGCACCACTTACAAGCAAAGCAGCAACTCACAAAGGAGATGAACAGTAATAGTAAAAAAAGCCTTAAGGCTTTGATACCATGATAAAAAAAATTTTTTTAAAAAAAAGAAAAATATAAAAATATACGACAAAAGAAACTCTTTCTTTCTTTATTTCACTTAATATATAAGGTGTTTATTTATAGGTATGTATAAGAGAATATTCTATAGTATAAAATTAATCAACCCAATTATATTAATCAATTATAATGTGAACTCAATCAACATAATTATAATATGAATATTTTGTGATATATACTATAATATATAATTCTCTTACCATGCATTTGGATTGAAAGCAATGGACAGAAGGGGAGAGAATGAGAAAATTGTATTTATTTAGTTATAAAAAAAATTGAAAAAGAGAGAAGAGAAAAAAGTCTTTTATTTTATTTTTCTTTTAATTTTTTTATTTATCTAAATAAAAATATGAAAATGAAATAATATAATTTCCCTCTTCTCTATACTCTTCATCCCAAATATATAGTTAAAAAA